GGAGGTGTTTCTCACCAAAGTAAGAGGGCGAAAGCGGATGCCCGGCGCTCTCCACCGGGTTGACTGTCCATTGGATGACGGTCTAGGGGAGATGGCTAAACCCTGATTCCAAACCTCCAACGACTGGCGTATGAAGCTCACTGGAGCTCACCGGCAGACGTATGGACAAAGGGCTTGTTGGATGTCCTGGATGTCTGGCCCCATTCAAAAAGGCGTATGAACCGAACTCCGGTCACCGGCTGCCAATGGATAGTGGACTCCTTACTCCACTCCTACTGCCTTGTAGGTCACACTTGGCTGTGTAAAGGCTAGAGCTGCACTCTCAAACAAAAGGCCGAGCGATGCTGGGGACATCACTCGTACCAAATTCCCATGAAACTTCATGAACTCTCTTACAAATTGCCGCGCCTGGGCAGCGATGATTCGAGACGTTCATGAAGCCGGCTCATCCTCCCGTAGGAGATAGCCGAAGTAAAGTAAAGTAAGTAAGTAACAGGATTATTTTCGGCGACTAAATCTGGTACTCTTCTATAAGCTTCTTAACCAAATAGTGTATACCCCTGCTAACTATACTCGGTTCTCAGGTAACATAGGATACAACCTTAGACACACTAAAGGTTCAGTGGCTATAGAGCCATGTAAAACAGCCACCAGGCAAAAGTTTTTCTTGAGTAGGTATGCCCAAATATGGAACAACCTACCTGAGAAAACGCGACTAGCACGCACATTGGCTTCCTTTGAAAAGGCACTTAATGGCACTTAATGACACACTAAGTGAGTTTGTAATTGATACCAGTGGTAATTCCCATGTAAGAGTTTTAGAAATCATAGGCCCATTTAATGTATGAACTCAGAGACTACACCTGTTGTTTGTTTCGCCTCTATTTATAATTCCAGACAAAAAAGAAGCAGTCATGACAATAACACCCATTCAATCAAGAGCCGATCAAACTATGTCTACCTGATACAAAGGGCGAACCATAACCAACATACAAATGAAATATGAGAAAAGGTAGAAACTTACCGCAACACCACATGAAAAGATAAAAGCTACTTGAACATCATTTATAAAACACCAACTGGTCTCCTACCCAAAAAGAATGCTGCTATATTTTATCCAAAATGGCGATGAAATACATAAATCCACAGCTGCTGTTGTAAAAACACTCAGTGGGGGTAGGAGCCAACAAAGTAATCCTTTCAAAGCATATGTATACTTCAAATGGGCATGGAGACTCTGTAGAATACGTCATAATCCAAATCACTGCCTATACAGCGCCAATAAACCTGGATACCTATGATATAACGAAAACATGCTGAAAGCTGCATCTTAGATCAAGTTGATTCATTCGATGGTAATGATCTACTCCTGCATGCCTTATTCGACATCTTGAATGGAATGGTTCGCAGTTATTCTCGTAGTTGATCGAAAAGAATAAAAAATTCACCGGTTGCTGAATCAAATTACTTCTCTGCATGTTTAACTGTATTCTAACTGCTATGATCAATTCCAAACCATTTATCTCATAATCAATCAAATTCCAGGAACGATCCAATTCTACAATTTAAAGACGCTGGCAAACATGCTGTAAATGAGTATTCATGATCTGAAATGAAGAAGCAACTGGTTTTCAAGCAGTTTTCAACATTTTACTGAACTTACGAATACAGTCCGCCATGCAGACACAAATGGCGCACATGGAGAATTCTGGAATCGACCTCGGCACCATTTGATGCAGTAAAACAACCCAACATGACCTTATCTAGTTTTCGCATCCACGATCGAATTTCTTTCCTGTTATGAAACTACGATAAGACTGCTGAAAAATGGAATAAATATATCACTGATCTCAACAGAATACATCAATAAACTTTAAGCCAAGGGTGCTGTTCGCAACAAAGTTATATAGGAGAATTGACTTCAAGCTTTATTTTTCCCAGATATCTGTATTACATCCATCTGATGTCTGGGTTTTTTGTTAATGCGAAGACAATATTTCTATATCTCTTTATGTGCTACACAAACAGACTTTAGAGCAGACTGCTCCGACTGACTCTAATGACAGCAAGAACAACCAAACTGTAAATCCATTGTGCATCAAATTACGTGTAATTTATATAACAACTTATCCATGCCTGTACAATAGGTATGTTCCTGCATAAACATGAAGGAATATATTATTATTAAAACAATATTTATGCATGCCTATACAATTGGTGTACCCTACATAGCTAGGAAAAAATGTACCTTCTTATATTATCTTTACTAAATATGCTTATGAATATTATGTGTAACTTATCGAATTGATGATGCCTGTAAACTGGCGTCCCTCATGTAGAAAATGAGAATATATATTATTATTAAATATTTCTCACACATTGGAAGGGATTTGCGTGATGAGCACATTTCGTTATATGTATTACATTTAATCTCCCCATTTCACACTTCATTCGAATGCTTATACTCTTCACATCAGTGGCATCGTAACGTTACCGTGAGAAGTGTTTTGAATCGAGGATGAAATAGTGATCTGATTGTTGAAACCATTTAGGGCTTTCCGAGTACCCTCGGCTGAGGAACTTTCTCACTTAGCAGAAATGGGACTTCAGAAACCTGCTCCAAACTTTCACTAACGCTACTAAACACATCTACTTCATCCTGGAAGTTGGATCTGAGTGAATATCCACTTTACTCGACGTTCAACTCTAGAGAAATGCTTATAACCTTCCGAAGAGACCCATATGCAGAAAGCCCACACAGGGTTAGCAGTTTAACAATTTTCAAAAGTCCTACTTTTTTCCTTTAGCATGATTCAAGGATTCCCAATAGTGTCGTTGGAGTGATACCTAGACTGAGTTTTCCTGGAGAAGTGCAGAAAAGCTTTTTGTTTAACTTGCCATATTTTTCTTTTGTGGATCTCGTATAACACGATGATTGTAGTTCGGCAGTGGAGCTCTTTTGGAGCTTCACTTATGCCGATATCCTTTGTACACAACTGAGTTAGCATGTCATCCCGTCGCGTCCCGAAATTATTACTTCTATGAGCTAATAATGTTAAGAAACATCAGTCACAGGGGCAGTCAACTTCAGTCACCATTGACTAGAAGTTAACAGGCGATTTCCACCAACTATAGACTAATATAGCTGAGGGAATACAACTATAGATATAGTTACCCTTGTACGAGTGTTTCATGTGGCAGTTAGCAATAATAAGATCAGTATTGCCGCTTGATGATTTAAAACATAAATTATCGGCAGTTGATGGCTGTAAACTGGTGAAAGTAGCGACACTGCTTTTCCCTTAGAACTGTGCCAATCTCGTGCCAGTAACCTCTAACAACCTAGGGTAGATTATCATCTTGTTGACCATGGAAACAAGTTTCTTTGAGCTTTCTACATCTGTGTTTAGACAGGTAATAGAAGGCAGTAGAGATTGCAGGTAAGGATCGAGAGTTTGTACTGATAATCCCAGGAAAATGAACGGGATGTACTGATGTATCGTCACCCATCACGGTGCCCTAAGTTAATTAGAAACTTGCGAATCGATGGGTTGTAGGCATTTTAAATTATTAGGAGGGCAGGTAGTAAGATTTGAAGCCAAATTAATGTGTGTAAAACTGGGACACTGTGTCAGCATGTAATTCCATATTTGTTTATAACCTGCACGTAACCACCGGGCTTCGAAGTCATGTTCAGAAAAATCCAACAGGTAGGAGCAAGAAATTAGATACTATGTTAAGATAGAGATGCTGTTAGCTGAAATTTTAGGCATATCTATCACTAATAAGTAATAATCAGTACTGCGGTAACTATAATATAATGAGTTATTACTGAAATTCTAATAACAAATCACCTCTCAGTATTACTGCAAAATTAATGCGTACTATTACTGTGCGTCGGTGGCACAGTGGTTAGGACTCTCGCCGACCATGCACATGGTCCGGGGTTCGAGCCCACGCCGGCGCACACGTGATATCTATGGTCGGCCTGCAAAATTTGGGCTACCGGTATCCATGCTGAAAATTCCATACTTGTACCAAAAATACAGTGTGGAATCAAGCTGTAAATAAAAAAATATTCTTTCAAAATTTTGTTGACGTTGAGGTTGCTTTGATTAAACTCTGTTTCTTCCATGTCCCTGTCCCAGATTTTATATGACGTTGCATTTAACTCTTCAGTAGTATATTACCTGACAGGTGCAGTGGGATTCGCAGTTTCTTCATGACACCACGGGACATGTTTAGAATACATCTACATATCTAAGCATAATTAGCTTTACTTGCAGAATAGTCGTGAACGTATCATATGTCTTTTTATGCTGAAATGACTGCATTGGCTTCTAAAACAGTATTCTTTCAGACAGGAACACGAGATTACAAGAAGAGTGCAGACTGCTGATGCATGTAACCAGGTTTTTAAACAGTTGAGAATTGATCCATTATTCAGTAAAAGCCGGTGTGGAATACATAACCTGTGGATAATAAAGGAGTGAAGCAGGTCTAACCAGTCTTCGTTTTGTTTGCTTCACCAGTCATTAACTGTATATCAAGCCATAGCATCCAGTGTGAAATTCGCAGGGAAGTGGGTATCCTAGTCATTGCTTCCTTTAGGATGACTCTCGACCTGATGAAAACCATCGTTGTGAATTATCTAAGATATCGTCATGCTATTTATATTTTCCAAATCTCGCTATATGGAGGTCATATGCACTCATTTATGTGGCTGTTGAAAGTATACTCGAACTAGTGCACATTTAGTAGCACAGTGTAGTTAAACACTAGAGAATCTGGCAATTCAAGACTACCATTTACTACTCCAAGCTTGTTCGTCAAACTTGAAATGCGAAAATGTTCTAAGACAAAAACTTGTAGTATTTCATGGTCGATTTTGTTGAGTACCATGGATTTCGAAAACTTTTCTACAGTTTTCTTGGAAGGTCGATTAAGTCCCAGAACATTCACTTTGCGCGCATGTGTTGAATGCTGTGTCACTTTTGGACATGCAAAGCCCGATAGGGCAATGTAACAGTTCCTCGGGGGATGTAATGACAAATTCTGGTATGATACTAGGGCTGATTATTGATATGTTGTATTTCAAACTCTCAGATAGGTTAAAATGGTACTGTAATGAAATCTTGAGGAGAATAGAGGGTTCTGGACGTAGGTACACATTCCTACCAGTGTCTATATTTACTTTTTCAGCCATTTCAGCAATAGATTTTAACACGGAAGGCACACACCTAGCCTATGGAAATGCTGATGGGATTGTTAGCACCATTGAGATCGGCAAAGCGGTTTGTAGTTTCGACGTTTTGATGTTAATATTAGGATTAGGATATTTCTGAACTAACACAACATTGTCATATCTGCTCAAAACCTTATCAAATTTTTCTCAGTCATGAGCCAGAGTTTGACTGCCTGAAATCTCAAGCTATAGAGGAAAAAATCAGTCATATACGTTGGTTACCAAGGTCTGGGCGTTCTCACTTCATACTCTCTTCCAATGGTAAGTCTGTGCATAGATTTTGCTTTTTGTCACTAATTTCAATAACAATAAATGGCTGGGTCCCTAGCTGTCACTCACCTAGACAGTTAACGTCTGTAGGAGGCTATTCCTTAGCTGGGAATGATTTTGTAGTCATATTTACATATATTATTTATCTATTTGATTACAGCTTGATTCCACACCGTATTTTTGGTACAAGTATGGAATTTTCAACATAGATATCGGTAACCTAAATTTTTCAGGTCGGCCATAGATGTCAGGTGTGCGTCGGCAGGGGACCGAACCTCGGACCTTGTGAATGGTCGGCGAGAGTCCTAACCACTGTGCCACCGACGTCACAATCTGTCGAGGTCTTAAACAGTAATTTCATGTAATCTATGCTTGTGACTTCACCCTGATTCATTGATTTTCTAAGCATATAATTTTGGTAGATGGTCGTTTAGCCACGCTGATATGTTCTAGCAGATAAGAGAGTGTCGAAAACAGACAGACAGACAGAGACAGATAAGAGTTACAAGCAAGCATATGGAGTTCTACGTTTTTTTGTTGATGGACGCATTAGGGGTGTAGGGATGTGTATTCTAACAGCCACTTCTTGATTGTAAGAACAAGCATTCAGGATTTTTACACCTCTTGAGTTTGTTATAAGTTTATTGTGTGAATGGTTTCATTTGTGAATTTACTTGTCTACCGTGTTTGTTAATTGGGTGGTAGGAACCGAAATTTTGATTGTCTCATACTCTCATCTAGACTGCTAAGTGGATTTGTCAACAGCGTAAATACTACTTCAGATACCGAATTTCTAAGACGGTTTAACTAACCAATGTCAGCTCATGATGAAACCCAGTAACCAATCAATCAAATCCCTACAAACCAACACTTGAATATCGATGAGATGATCACTAGCGACTTGCCCTATTCAGGTAGGTAGTTACCTGGGGTTGGTTCTAGTGAAAAGTCGTGACCAGTAGGGTGCAGCAGGTCGGGTATGAGGACAAATACTCGCCGAAGACATTGGCTACTGGTCGCGCTTTGTCGTGAATTGGCACAAGTTACAGTTCACTGGCCATTGGATCGGGTCCTAGTGTCTAAATGGTCTACGAGCTGGCTAGCCCTGTAACCAGAAGATCGTGGGTCCAAACCTCCTGTGGTGGCAGCGTACTGATGAAGACTTCCAAACTAGAACGAAACAGCCGGCTGTCCATTACTCCCAGCTGGTTTTTCAATGGTTCTCTAACCAATATCAGCTCATGATGAAATCCTGTAACCAATCAAACCCCTCTACAAACCAACACTTGGATAATAATAATTTTAACCTGTTCGCATTATAACTTCTTGTATCCCTTGTCACACTTGTCCACTCATTTAATGGATGATCCTATATGACTGTCATCTGGATTCTTTTCGGTGAGTCTAAACTAACTAAAGATACCTGTATATATACACCACTTCTAGTTAAGTGGATGTTGATGCAACCTCGAAACATTAAGGTGCAACAAAACAGCTGTAAATTAGTTGTCATACGTTGCTAAGAGTAATAGGCACAAGAGTTTCAATGGTTTGTTGCATGTTTTGATCCGGATGTATAGTGTGCTTGGCTGCGTACCTAATTATGATAACATTTCCCAAAGGTTGTCGACACTTTAAGACTACACATTCTCATATTTGCTTGGTCATCGCCAGATTTTCATGTCAATCTGCTAGGTGAAATGGAATCTTTGGAAGTTGTTAACTTAGAAGTAGCAGTAGATTTAAAATTGCATACTAATCAAATTTTTCAATGAGATTTCGGAGCTGATTTCAATTATTTTCTTATATCAAGGAGTTCACAGTTATACGCAGTTGAATTACTAGTCTTCCTAAAGCTTCCTCATAATTTGGCGACCTACTCCAGCACATCACGTCAAAAGTTTTTCTAAAGTCTGTAAATGTGGAGCTGAAAATTCCGAGGATGACCCAACTTCCTTTATCTAGCGACTTTTCACCAGGTGGTGAATTTTTAAAAGGCATTTTATAATATGCATAAGAAATATGTTTAAGAATGTTTTCTTGTGTATTCGCTTGTCTCATTGTGATGCCCTAGGCAAAATGAAAACACATAATTTAGCACAAGAGTGAATTAGTTCAGGGTGTTACACTTCAGAACAGCAAACTAAATTTGAGAAGAGAAATGTAATGGGAGGATATTCAAAGGAATGTATCTAATCCTTGTTATCTTTCATATTCTGAAGATGTTCATTAGATTTCATTTAGTTACTGTTTCTACTCAGGGATAGTTTCGCATATGCCAGTTTACGTCGTCTCTGGCGTAGACGTCATATCAGGCTATCGACCAAAGCGCGGGTGTACAACTGAGTAGCCCTACCCGTTCTCCTTTATGGCTGTGAGACCCGGCTATTGAGAGTGAAAGACATGAAAAGATTAGCTGTCTTTGATCATAGGTGCCTGCCTTCTATCTTCCATGTGAAGTGGTATGACAGAGTGTGCAATATTGAGGTTAGGCTTTAGTCGAGTGCTAGATAAGGAGGGGAAGTCAATCGACGAGGCTGTGAAGCTACATCGACTAAGATGGTTTGGACATGTGTTACGTATGCCTAGTCATCGCCTCCCTCGACAACGGGCAATGTTTGCTGACATAGGGTCAGGCTGGAAAAGAGCTAGCGGCGGCCAAATCAAAACATGGCTTCATCAGTCAGTGAAATCCACGACATTTAGTTTGAGACAGCCAGTCTCACATAGGAAGGTGTACACTTCTTGACTGGTTGGGGTCCTCGGGACGGTAAAAACCAATGGTTAGAGACAATCAGGGATATGGCTCAAAATTATTCACAATGGTAGAGATGCATCCACTCCTTGTGACTTATGATTTCCAATGAAACTATATTGTTCTTCGTTCGTTATTACTATTCCTTTGTCTCACACCTCTGTTTACTGTCTCTAATATGCATTTCTTCTACTTTTTTCTGTTGCTTTGTGTGGTACATGAACTTCTGGAAATCGGTGCAAAATTTCATGTCGAAAGCAGACAGACAGAGTTAGTGTATCCCGTATATCTGTGCCATAGTAAACGATTTGAACTCCTATGTCCATGTCCCCACCCACAGGCTTTAAGTATCTTGAGGACACTAACCAGGTAGTCCACACCTTCTTCATATGACTCAAACTACCAGTTAGTGATTCCATAAATTTGTTCCTTACTTCGGTCTGACGCTTCTCAACTGTTTCCTGAACTAACCTTGTTTCAATTAACAGTAATCTTCGGGACGAGTAGTGCTTTGACATGCGTAACCTAAACCTTAGCTACCTCTCAGTTGTTGGGTCTTCACAAACTTATTGACTAACTTCCTCACCTAACCTGTCTGCTCTCAGATTCCGTCAACAAACAGGCTACATGCCGTTTCCCAAACTAGTGAAGTGGATTATACATTCAACACAGTGGAGAGGTGTTGCTGAAGCCTTGTGTTCCACTCGGAACCCAAAGGGATAATAATAATAATCATTACACGTTGAAGCGTTCCACAACTTGTTCTTCAACCAACAGTTAGTTCAAATCAGTCCTGCAGCATCATCTTACATTTAACAGGAGGCGAATTATATGCTAAACACATAGATTTCTGCGGAATGTGTTCAGCAGACTTCATTTTTCAGTGTCTTCAACATAAAGGAATATATCATTTGCATACTCTAAATTAAGAAGAAGTAACTGATCCTCGAAGCATTGATAATGATCAAAGTCATGTTTGTCAAAATATTATTATTTATTGTCATTATTTCCTTTAATTCCTAGAGGTACATAGGGCTTTAGCCGCTCGTCTCCACTGCGTTCGGTTCCCTGCTAAATTTTTCACCTGGCTCCAAGTCTGCCCATATGCTTTCATCTCCTCTTCACATGACCTCCTCCAAATCACCCTTGGACGACTAACTTGCCGCTTTCCTTTCGTATTCCACTCGAGGTCTTGTTTCGTGATGTCATTTGATGGTTTCCTCAGAGTATGGCCAATCCGTCTACATTTCTTCCTGCCTATTTCTTTCACAATCAGTCCCTGGTTGGCTTGCTCACAGAGGTCCCTATTGCTGATCCTTTCTGTCCGGCTATCTCATTTTGAGTACTGAGCGAAGACAGCTGTTAATGAAGGTCTGTAGTTTGTTTGAGGTGCTCATTTTGAAGCGCCAAGTCTCTGATCCGTATAGTAGCACTGATTTCACATTTGAGTTGAAAATCCGGATCTTATTTACATTGTCATGCTGAGTGCTATTGACCTTCACATAGACTTGAGAGTAATGAAAGCTTGTCTTGTCTTCCCGATCCTTGCTTTTATATCCTCGTTGGCTCCGCCTGTATTTGAAACGTTGCTTCCCAGGTAGGTGAAGGAGGTTGTTTCTTTCAGGTTCCTCCCATTTATGCTGGCTGATTGTTGTCTGTTGTTGTCGCTGTTGCTGTTAGCCAGGAATCTTCATCACCTGTGTTTTATCTATGTTCACCTGAAGACTTACCTTCTCTGGATGCTTCCTCTGCCAACTTGTTGCTTTTCACTTGCATATCTTCGAGTTTTCGGGAAATCAGACATATCATCGGTGAAGTCCAGATCCTCCAAGTTTTTTGTGTGGGTCCATTTTATGCCTGTCTCCTCGTTGCCCGGCCCGATGTCTGTCACATTATCCAGTCTACCGCAATCAGGAAAATCATTGGAGATAGTAGGCAGCCAGTTAGCTTGTCTTACTCCCGTCTTTACTTCGAAGGATTCCGTCAGTTTCCCGTTGTGGATTACTTGGCATGCAGAAATGTCGTACAACTGTTGGATGAGATGTATAATTGTTGGTGGGACCCCTTGGTGGTAACGAAGTAGTTTCCAAATCACCTCTCGATCGATGCTGTCGAAGGCCTTTTCCAAGTTGATGAAGTTGAGATAGAGAGGTGACTGCCATTCCAAGCTCTGTTCAATGATGATCCATAATGTGGTGATTTGATCAATACATGACTTGTTTCTCCTGAATCCAGC